CAAAATACACTGCAGAGACCTAGGGCCAGTGGTCCACCTCCCTCATCATCAACACACCTCCTCTGCTCCTGAGAACAGGGGAGGGAAGGGACACAGTGCCCAAATGCGACAGTTTTTCCTGTGGCCATCATCTTATCAGGATTCTGCAGAAGAGCAGAGTTCTGACAGCCAGCAGGGATGCAGATGGGAGCAACAAGCCTGGCTCCATCACTAATGCCCTGAAGAGTCCAATCTTGGGATCAAGCCTGCCCCCTGCTGGTGAGTTAGGTCGTTTGCGGGAAGTATTTATGAGCAAGGTTGTATTTTGTAGTCTAGTTTTCAAAATTACTATTATGAAATGCTGTTTAGCTGGGAGTGGTGGTATATGCTTGTTGTCCAAACACTCTGGAGGCTGAGAGAGGAGGACTGTTGTGAGTTCATTGTCATCCTGGGGTACAATGTGAGTTTAAGGCCCGCCTGAACTGCATAGCAGGACACTTTCTTAAAAAGAGAGAGATACAGAGAGAAACAGAGAGAGAAGGAACTGCTGTTTCAGGATGAATATTAGTGTTGTAACTTACATAAATACCAATGATACAAATTGTTTTTTAACTTAGAGAGGAATAAGAGCATGGGGGCACTTTCCTGTAATACAAGCACTGTAGTCTGGTGAGGACGGAGAATAGCAATTTCCTCTAGCATAAATTGCACAAATAACTCCCGCAGTTCTTGTCTCAAAATAAAGACTTAGCTGAGTGCAATCTCAGCACCCTGTAGGCTGAGGCAGCGTGATCACAGTTGGAGCACACATTCAGGCATAAGCAAGACCCTGTCTGAAAACAAATAATTAGAGCCAAACAGATTTTTGGAGCACACATTCAGGCATAAGCAAGACCCTGTCTCAAAACAAATAATTAGAGCCAAACAGCCAAACAGGATTTCAGCATTACAGTTTTCCATTCCAAGTAGTGAAAAGAAAGGAGGGAGGGAGGGAAGGTGTGAGAAAGGAAGAAAGGAAGGGAAGAAGGAAGGGAGGGAGAGAGGGAGGGAGAGAGGAAGAAAGGGAAGAAGGAAGGGAAAAATGAGGGGAAGGAGGAATGAAGAAAATGTCTATAGCTGCAACCCACCCACAAATTCTTTTCCAGATTGATCAATGCTCCTCACACAGTTCCCAAGTCAGCACATGGCCCTTCGTGCATCTAGGATCCTCCACTGGAGAATGATTCCTTCCTCAGCTGAACTCCCCTTTCATTATGTGTGGATCTAGACTTTGAACCAAGGAACTGCTACCATTTAGCTGTGTCACAGCACTATTGTGGGTTTTTTTTTTTTTTTTCAGGACAAAGATTTGAACCCAATGCATTTTTCAGGTACTTACATCCCACTCCTGTTTTGATTTTTTTTGTTGTTGTTATTCTGAGACACAGTATTTCTAATTGAGATTGGAGTGTGGTGGTGCAGGCCTGCAATTCCAGCACTCATGAGGCTGAAGCAGCAGGATCACCAGGAGTAATGCGGTGGAGAGGAGGAGAAGCAGTCAGGGATCCTAGTGTGCTGGGAAGGGAGGAGCAGGGAGGGCAGGGTGTGGCTAACAAGGGGGATAAAAGAGGAGAGGGGCAGAGGAGGAGATGCTCAGTCCTGGAGCTGCCAGTCACTGCTGTTCCTGTCTAGATTCCTGGAGCCCTGTCACTATCTCCTGAGTCTGCACTTGGTGAGTCCCTGGCCTCCACAAGAATGAGGATGCCCCCCTTCTCTCAGCCTGTGTCATGGGGGCAAAGAGGTCACAGATGTTACTGGGGATTCTGTGACTTCTGTCTCTTCAAATGTATAGGATTGGAAATTTTTAGGTATTATGTGGGGGTTTATTAGCATGAAGTCCTGCTATTTTACCCAGCTGGATTTCACCTCAGTATGTAGCCCAAGCTGGCTTTGAACTCCAGGTTCTCCCGTCTCACCCTCCTCTAATTGGTAATATCACTGGTATAACAAGCCAGGGTTAGATTTTTCTTTTGATTAAAAATTTGCAAATTTGCCTTCATGCATTATATCCTGCCTTTGCATTGGTTTAGGTCATCTCATAATTTTTGTTGTTGTTGTTTTTCCCGTACAGGGAATCGAACTCAGGACTTTGCACTTGCAAGGCAGGCGCTGTGCCTCTGAACTAAATCCCCAGCCTCAATAATTTGTTTTTGAGAGAGGGTCTCACTATGTAGTCCAGGCTGGCCTTCTACTCACTTTGTATCTCAGGTTGGCTTC